ATAGATGTGCTTTGAATTGATTTATTTAACTTAAATCAGTTAAAAAATAAAATCAATAGATAGATAGAGACAAGTTAACTCAATTGAATTGAATTTTGTGAAATAATCATAAAATTTTTGTTAGTAAAAAATGTCTAGAAAGAGGGTGATATATATAAATGTTTCACTTTTTTACTTTTTATGTTTTCAAATGTTTATTCAATAACTTTCATAAGCATTTTAATTTGCAAAGTGAATAGTATAACAGAATTTGAGAACTAAAGAATTCGGAATCAATAAAATATTTAAGACTTTTTTCATATTATTTGTGTCATTCTTGTTATGGATTATATTCGACATAACAATGAAATGACTATAATATGATCCGAGACTTCCAAACATGTCACATTAAATGACATTTATTTGTTTCAACATTGCGAAGAGTTTTACTAAATTTAAAAAAATAAAATTTAAGCTAAAATCAATATAAAAATTATATAAAATGAGTATTGAATTATCAGAGTAATTTATCAAATAAATATTTTATAACTGATAATAATTCAAGGAATATAACGTTAAATTCTTGTATGATTAGATTTTCAAAAAAAAAATATTTGGTAATCTGAACCAATTTTCCAATATCAGGAATAAATTAAATTGAAGTAAACTCTGCATTAATATTAGGAGTGCTCAAAGATTTATTTGCAAGTGCCATGAAATTATGTTGTATATGAGTCTATAGACTTCTAACATTTGCAATATTTGAGTATACTTCAAATTAATTTATTCATATTATACTCTACCTATATGAATGTAAACTTACTAGCTAATCCTTTTTAAAAATAATTAAGGATTAAGTTAATCCATAGAATATTTTATAACACTAGTAAAGAATTTATTTGTAAATCTAATTGTGTTTTATAGGATTTAACTTTTAGTATACTTGATCCTGACGAATAAATATTAATTATTAATAATTAAAATATAAAACAATTATGTTAATATAAATATTACAAAATTCTGTAATTCTGGAACCCATTAATTTGATAGTGAGTGTAATGTAGTGTAAGAACATATGAATATATTATACTAAATAAATATTTAATTAACTAATTATTTAACACAAGACTCTTGATTTAATTTTGTAGAAACCGAAGACCCCGGGAGAGCTTACGGAAGGGGTGAGTGATTATTCGTAATCCTTTTGTTTATACCAAAGATCAGATTAAATATGAAGATTTAGAGCACATATCTCTAAATGACTGTTCATTTCGACATTTCAGGCGTTGGTTTCTTTGTCGGTGAGATATACGAGTGGACTGTCTATTGTGCATAATATTGACAAATATATTTAAAGGCGAGCCGTGTGTATCGACTTGCAATCAGATCCTATTTCACGTGACCTGTAACCTATCGACCCACGTATGCGAGTGCCTCAAAGAATATCCCGTGAATGTCAACAATAAAAATTGTCGCAAAGGTTTGCCTACAGAATGCTAGTGTTTCAAAATGCTTTTAAGACATGTCTATTTGATTTGCTGTAATCAAAAGCCCTTCACATCGGAGAGAGATGTGAGTTCACCGAAGAGTGCAGTTATTTCGACAAAAACACCGTCTGTTCCAGTGATGGCTACTGTCAGTGCTCTGAAGGTTTGCATTCATTTTCCACTCTTTTAATACATTTTTCGTAAACTCCAAATAATTGCTGTCTTTTCATATCATTTCGAGATTAATGCATTGAAGCGTTCATTTTAAGCTAATTAATAAAATGCCAGTATTTATTAATAGGATATAATTAAATGGATAAAAACATCTACTTTAAAAGTTATGCTTTCATACAAACCTTTAATTTTGAACGCATTTTTGAGTTTCACTATAAATAGTTGAGTCAATTGAGAAGTTAAGTGACAAAGAGTTAAGTACAGGGTTTGGAGTTAAGGAATAAGTGTACAGTCAGTGTAGTGTAGAATCAATTTAGACATGAAATACAAAATTAATGCTTTCATTATTACGAGAGCATTGCTATGAGTGTTGTATTCTTAAGGGGTCGCGAAAAGGACCCGTTTGTGAGACTGAAAAACATTTACTACAAAAGATAATTTACTAGAAATGCGTGTTTCATGTAATCGAGACATTAATCTCTTTCATAGGCTATGATATAAAAAGTGAAGACAAGAAGGGAAGGCTATGCGTCGCCGGTATGTCACTCGCGGAGTTCACTTCTGAAGATTAATTAATTGAATTAACATTTGTATTGTAATTTTGCTTTGAAAGGCGATTCAGCGATGCATTTGCGTATAGGAGCGGCCACTTACGAGTTCTTGAACAATGCGGATCTGACCACTTTGTTGAGCCTTATTACCAGTCTTTTTATGCTTATATTCCTCTTCTGCTTTGTCATCAAACTCTTCAATAAGTAATCATTTTATATCATTTCGCTGTTCGCTTGCATCTCATTAACGCTCGCATTACAAATCGGTTTCAATTTGTTGGTCCACTAATTAGGGCGCGTTTTAGTGAACACAGTGACCGCTGCTATTCGAGGGCATCGGTGCCGCCCGTCATACTGACGGGTATGGAGACGGCCGCCTCCCGGGGCTCGAGCGCCAGGTCTTGCAATGAATTTATGCCGCCCTCGCGTCGCGCCAGCTATTCGCTGTTAGCGCCCCCACCCTCCGGCTTAGGTATCACTTATTCATCGTTAATATCACACTTCATATCAAATAATGAATGATTACTATTGGATAGCGTCTCGACGTCCGAGTCTCTCATCCATACGCTCTCAAAGTTCCTTAAGAAGCTATTCATCATTTCGTAGTCAATCATCGTTTAGAAACTATAGGCCAGGGATTGGAGTCCGCGAGTCCTTCCGCAGAACCACATCCTCTCCGGTCGACTCAATGCAACAAATTGTGTCCAACTCTTCGTTCAATTCCGAACCCTTTAGACAAAACCATTTCACAGCAAACTTAAGGAACAAAAGTGTAAGTATTTGGCAGTATATTAGCCATTCATGTGATACCATATTGTATATCCATTTTTACGATTTCCTGAGAGACCAGCATTCGGTCGATTCGCTTCTTTACTTTCTTTTGCCATCACTTTTACATTAGCTCTCTCTCTCTCTCTCTCTCTCCAAGTTTACAATGTTACAGAAAATTATATTTAAAACATACAGTATAAAAATTGAAATAATTTATTGCACAAGTTATTTAAAATTAAT